TAGGGTGGGGTGGGGGTCAAGGGGAGACACCTCTTCCAGAGCCAGCTTCTCAATGAGCTCAAAACAACACGTGACAATATACATTTACATATACAGACTGTCCTCCAGGCACAGAGACGTTGAATAAAAGGGTATAATGTTTCAACTTTTGGAGTGCTCGGAGTATAGATTTGTAAGATGTGTACTCTGCTCATAAAGAACTTCCAATCTGATAAATAAAAAGTCAGGAATGAAAATCTGATTTTTTTTTTTTTTTTTTTTTTTTTACTATGATGGGTATTCAAGGTGCTTCCCACAAGAGTTCGTGTGTAACTGCCCACAGGTTCTTTATTTAGCTATTAAAAACTTAAGGGCTGCAAGATGGCTCATTTGATTAAGTGCCTGCCTCACAAGCATGAAGACTTGAGTTCCAATCTTCAGCCCCATATTAAAGCCAGGTGCAGAAGTGTGCATCTGTAACCCCAACACTGTGTGTGTGTGTGTTCCTGTGTGTGTACCAGGCAGCTCTCCAGAGTTCTAGCTTGCTGGCCAACCAGTCTAGCCAGTCTGAGTTCCTGGTTCACTGAGAAGCTCAGTCTCAAAAATAAATAAATAAATAAATAAATATGGAGGGGTTAATTGATACACCATTGACCTCTAGCCTCTACATGCACACGCATCCAATGAACATACACACACACACACACACACACACACACACACACACCAGGGAATCTGATTTGTACTGGCCAATTATTCCTGGCCATGAGGCCTGCCTACCCTGGTGTGTGGTTGATATATCCAGAGCCACTCCATTGAAGAAAACTGATTTCCCCTCTCCTGGCAGATACCAATGGTGTTTCCCAGACACAGCCGGACCAATGCACATATAAACTCAGAGGCTTGTGACAGCATGAACAAGACTTTTGCAAGTTCAAGCCAGACAAAAACCCCAGCACAGGAGAAAGGAAAATCGGCACCAAGTTCCACTGCTAACCAAGAAGGTGCATACCTTAAATTCCAACACTCAGGAGGTGGAGGCAAGTGGATCCCTCTGAATTCAAGGCCAGCCTGTTCTACATAGTGAATTCCTGGCCAGCCAGGACTACAAGACCCTGTCTTATTAAAAAAACAAGCAAACAAAAACTCATAGAAGTTTCACCTTGTCAAGTCTAGTGAGTTCAATAGCATGCATAGAAAATCCCCGTCAAGAAGAATGAACACAAGTGTAAGAGTGCAGAGTCGGGGCAGCTCTGCATGCAATTGTATGGTGGCCCCTGGTGCCACCCAAGCCCCAGGTCCATTCTCATCTCAGAGTTCTCTCTTCCAAGACCAATGAAACCAGGCGTGCTCAAGGGCAAGCAGAAGAGGCAGAAACCTGTCCCCAGGCATGGAATCTCTAAATCCACCTTCCAGTCTGATTGAGCAATATTGTTACATGTGTTTTTATGAAACTACTTGTCAGTGGCACACCCAAGGCTAAGTGGTTTAAACAGGGCCCGCCTCTTCCATATCTTGTCAGATCTCTGGGAAAAACTGAAATTGTGTTTCACAGGAGGAAAGAGCCAATGACTATCGAGTCAGAAACCAGTCTTCCATCTTACCCACCTAACCACGAGGTCATCCTGGATGGTCACATTGAGTGTACAAGATCAGTTCCTCTAAGAATTGACTCAAACATCAAAGAGAAATCTTGGTGAAGCATGAGAAATCCGTGTCTGGTTTTGTAGATTCCAACAGCCAGCAAGGATTCAGGAAGCTGTTCCCTGAAGAAGCAGCTATGGAGGAACTGAGTGAGGACACATTCACCTAGAAGCTGGACACCCAAATACAGGGCCATAAGCAACCAGATGTGGCACTCTGTAGTCAGGAGACAGGAGGTGTCATGTTTGTGACCATGGCAAAGTTAGACCTTGAGCAGCCTAGGCTGCTGCTGTTTATCTGTTCTCATGAGTAGGCATGCCATCTTCCGACCATGGTACCTACAACTGTTTGTCACACAGTTGAATGAAAGGTCTCAGGCTACCTTGCTATCATGAGGCATACCTAGAACACTATGCTTGCCCACACACCTGTTCCTTGTTCCTCGAATGCCCTCCCCCAGCTGGAGAGCACCTGCACAGACCCCAGACCCCCTTAAATCACCTCTCTGCAATGGTTTCCCCTTATTCCTTGTGTCCCCATCAGAGATTCTTCTTTGACCTTGGAGGTCATCTTTGAAATTGCAGTGTTTTTTTGTTTTTTTGTTTTTTTTCCAGGTTACTCTTTGCTCCAGATTTTAAAAAAAAATTGAGTTTCCATTCATCTTTGTGTCCCCCCCTGCTACTACCTCTTAGTCCATCTGAATAAAGTTACTGACCTAAATTGTCAAATAACGTTATTTATGTTTCTTTCCACTCTGTGTGTGTTTCCATGTCTGTGGGTTTCCTCAGGACATACAACCCTAACAGACACATATATTTTCTCTTTTATCTTTATCAAACTGACTTTTAAAAGAAGACATAATTTCCTGTTGTTGTATTCTGCTGGTCTGTGGGCATTAATCTCACCACTCAAACATAGTCAGATCCTTTGTTGTAATATATGCATATAGGTTTTATCAGCTCCCCCACATACCTTGTAGAATGGTGTCATGGAAAATTACAGTTTAGACTCACACTGATCTAGGCTTTAATCATTGTCCACATATTAACTCTGTGATCTTAGACAAGTTTCTTAGCTACTTTATGCCTTTTTCTTTCATTGAAGTGGGAGAGGTATGTAGTGAGACCCTGTCCAAAAAAAAAAAAAAAAAAAAAAAAAAATTAGATAATAAAACAGTAGCTATCTTGTTGAACATTAGAGAATGATAGCAGCTTGATAAATGTTCAGTTGATCACAGGTGGACTGGTAGGGATCCTAGACAAGCTAGCAGTGATTAGTTGACCTTCTTGTCTCTTTAAAGAACCATGGCCAAGCCCTTGGGTAGTCTTGCTGACCTGCTTTGAAATTCTATCTGGGCTAGAGCCTTGATTGTTTCTGGGTGCCTGCCTGCCTGTCCTGACTTTCTTGCTCTCAGCTGGCCAGGACTCCAAACCAGGGCACCCCTTGCCGAATGCACAAACTGCTGTTGCTTGCTGAAGAAGGCAGATTGGTTGGAAATGACATAGGCAAATGACAAAGGCAGCCTATGAAAACCCTTCACAGCACCCTTCACCCTTCACAGCACAGAGACATCACAGCCACATCTGTAACGCTAGCATGTGCGAGGCCAGGCAGGAGGATTGCCAAGAATTCTAGGCCAGCCTAGGCCATCTAGTGAGTTCTGGGTCAGCCTGGGCTGAAGGGACACCCAGGCTCAAAAAATAAAACAATGCAAAACACCAAAAAGGCATCACAGGCCCAAAGCACCTCTGGCTGTGAGAGATGCTTGTGGTCTTTGTTCTCCAAATGCTCCAGCCCTTTTTCTACCTCTCTCCAGAAAGACTGAAGTATGAAATCATTTGCAGATCAATTGATTCCAATTAAAAATTTAAGATGTCTTCCTTTAGTATGCCAAGAGCTCTCACACTTCTGCCTTGTGTCTCACGGGGATAAAATCCGTTGTCCTTCTGGCATACCTCACCCCTCAGCCCTGTGCTCTCTATATAATTTGGTAATTTGTTTCAGGCATGGAGTTGCCATTTGTTGTTTGTAGCCTCTCCTTTGAAAAGTGACATTCAGGTCCTTAGTGTGTGTGCTTAGGGAGTATTTGTTGAGATGGAAACGTCAACAGCACATTTCACAACGTCTAATTTTTCCTCGTGTTAGATGGTTGAGTTCAGTGAGTTAGCATTTGGATGGTTCCAGGCTACTGAGCACTCACTTAACTCTTGGGACCCATAGGGTGAAGGTGCTACCAACCCCAGCAGCCAGGATGGAGACCCAGGAAGCCCCTCCCCTCAGAAACCGGGCTGTCAAGTTTCTTGGCTTAATGCTTGCATAGCCCATATTTACTTCTCAGCAGTCCAAAGTGGATCCTGGGTTTGTTTAGAAGTTTCTTAAAAGACATCACATGTCTTGGGAGTCAATGAGTCTAGTTCAGCATGTTTGTCATTTCTACTTACCTCGAAGCCCACTTAAAACAGAGCATTAAGTATAACAGTCTCGGGTTCAAATCCCAGCTTTGCTGTATATTCTGTGTTGGTAAATGCTACCTTTTGGAGGCTCCATTTTCCTCAGCTCTGGGAGAATGAGGATAACTGAGTAATGCATATATAAAATGTCCTCTGGTCGAGCACCAAATGATATTTCCTAGGTAGTCATTCCGAGTTGAGGTTTTTGGTGTAGATGGGCTGGTAACTTGGGGGTTCTGTGTTGCCTTTTATTAACTATTACTAGGCACAGATATTTGCAGAGGAGTATCAACTTAAGACTTGAAGGAGCCGCTTCACACAGCTGCTTTTGTTGAATGAATGTCAAATCAGTAGTCAATGATGTTTGCAGAGTGTCTTATACCTTTCATGGGGCTTTCCGGTTTTCTCTGCCAGTCCTGTTCTGTTAATAGTCCCAGGCATTCCCACTTTGAACTGTCCTCCTGCCTCCTGCCAATCCCCAAATCCTCCTAGCAGGACATCTGCGGTGTGTCCCGCCTGCTTTGTGGACCTAAATTCTCTGCCTGCTTTTCTTTTGACCCGCTCTGCCTGCCTCTGTTGACCCAGGGTCTTATCTTGTCCTCTGGAGGTATGCTAAGTGCTGTACCAGCCTGCCTGTTAGCCTGGCCTGTTTCCTGTCACTGCCAGTACCTCTTGGATTCCAATTCCAAACATGGTATGCCTCTGGGGTCACCCTTTCTTCCGGTGCCAACAGAACACGCATTCCAAATGGAACACAAGTGTGTCTCTCCTGCTGGCTCTCACGCCCCATTCTGCTTGGGAACAACAGAAAGCAGGATGTGGCTTCACCGTCCCGTGCTGCTGAAGTTTCTGGTGTTGTGATCCTACTTTCTCTGAGGACAATGTGAGTTTTTTTTTTTTTTTTTTTTTTTTTTTTTTTTTTTTTCTGAGAACTAAATATGAAGGCTGTCTTAAGAAAGCTGGCACTGAAGAAGTTTACTGGAATGCTGCAGAGAGGGCGAGAGTGGTACTGAGGAGAGAAAAGGAGAAAAACCAAACCACCCCAAACAACAAACCTAGGTTTTCCATCTTCCACGAAGTGTACTATGTTCTGGCATTCTTTCTCGGAGCCACCAGAAGCATTCCTGTCAGCAAAGGTAGAGTTGGTGGTGAGAAGCCACCGGGGAGTACCGATTAATTGATTTTTTTTTTTTTCCTTTGTGGAGAGGCCTGGAAAGGCCCTGAGAGCCCCAAAGATGAGTGCCAACAGCAGCACACTGGGCCAGCTCCTCTGGCGGGGCCCCGTGTGCAGTAGCTGGAAGCCGGATATGGAAGGTTCTGTCTACCACCTGGCCAACTGCTTCTTGCTCATGGGATTTATGGCAGGCAGTGGAGTGTACGGATGCTTCTATCTTTTTGGGATCCTGGGCCCAGGCTACCTCTGCTATGTGCTGTGGGGCTGGTTTGATGCCTGTGGACTAGACATTGTCCTTTGGAACTTCCTGCTGACCGTGGCTTGCCTGCTTCAGCTGGCACATCTGGTATACCGCCTTCGGGTGAATACCCTCCCTGAGGAGTTCAATCTCCTCTACAAGACGCTGTGCCTGCCCCTGCAGGTGCCCCTGCAGGTCTACAAGGAAATTGTTCACTGCTGCCAAGAGCAGGTCTTCACACTAGCTACGGAGCAGACCTATGCTGTGGAGGGGGAGACACCCATCAACCGCTTGTCCCTGCTCCTCTCTGGCCGGTAAGCTCTTCTTTGTTGTCAATAATGGAATTCCCCCAGCTCACACTTCCCATGTCCTGGTGTCCCATTCCATTTCGTGTCCCCTTTCATCAAGGGAAGGATGTGGCAAGTCAAACAAACCCAAATAGATTTTTCTAGGAGTGACTCTGCTTCCTCTTTCTTGGCACTTTCCAAAAGGAAACTAGATCATGAGGCATCTTCCAGGCTATCAAGGAGGGTGACAGTGTTCACTTGCTGCTGCAAAGTCTGGTGAGACTAGAACTGAAATACATACCCCACCCCCACCACACACACACACACACACACACACACACACCCCACTCACATACCCTAATGTATTGCCTGTACTGCAGCAACCTCTCTATGAGCTTTGAAAACTGACTATATCAATCAGATTGATTTGTTCCTTCCATATGTACAAACCATGTACAGGAGTAAACCCAGAAGCAGGAGGTTTACAGTGATCCTGTTTCCTGCCAGGGCATCAAGGAAGCACCCTGTTGTATTTGAGACCTTCTATACAAGCTTTGGAGTATGGCCCATGTACTGATAGCTGCAGAGAGGAACTAGCTCAGTCTTATTCCCAGTCCAATTGTTCTATTGAGGGTCTCTGATCTGTAATTGAGGCTCTGTAATTTGAGAGCCCATGGTGACAGAAGAGTGTGATGCCACAGTTGGACATTGGCTGGATTTATGATCAGAGTGAGTTCACTTAGCTTCCATGGCAACAGTGACCATTGGTGTTTCATGAGAAAACTCCATGGGCTCTGTGTGTAACACTTCATAAACATTTGGGCATTCTTTGAAATGTTGCCTCGTAGCACTTGACCATAGACAGTCTCTTCCATCACCTTGCCAGAGATCATGTGTGGCTAAGAAAGACAATAATTAGAGCACCCTGGAAAGAAAGGGGAAGAGGGAAATGGAAGGATGAGGGGAAAGAAAAGGAAGGGAAAGGGAAGAAAGGAAGGGAAGGAAGGAGAGATGGAGGGAGGGGAGGAAAACAAACAAAGATGGCCAGCTACGAAGAGGAGAAATAACTACTGTCAAAGTCATAACATGCATTTATATCTGAATTTATAGAATCCAAATTGTTATGTAGACCTTGGCTTTATGCTTTTTGTTTTTTAACTCAGAAGACATGGGTTGATTGAGTTATGAAGGGAGAGTATTTTGGTGTCAATTCACGAGTGAATTGACAGTATGAGCAAATGCCATGACCTGTAGACAAGTATGCACTGTGAATATTGCCTGTGTGCTCCATGCCTACAAGACGAACAATGAATGGAAGGAATGTGTTCATTTATGGGATCCATGCTGTTTGCTTCTCATGACCAGGACCTCTCCTCTTCCTGGTGTTCATTTATCAGAAACAACATACCATATTCAGGTGGTTCTGATGTCTTGTATATGACAGATTTACTGTGAGCTTGTATGAACCTGTGCCCCTGGGAAGGGGGAAATAAGGCTTGCTTTTCTTCATAGCTTTCCTAATATACTTCACATCAGCTGACTGGCATCAACAGTTAGAAACCAGGCTGTTCTGAGTTTTCTCTTGATTCTCAAGGTTTGGAGAAAGGGTTTTGTTATTGTTCTTTTTGACTTGTCATCCTTCACTGTTGTCCTGTCTCAGCTTTGCTGGATGAATGAACAAGTGGGAAAGGCTTCTAGCCAATGACTGGGCTCTGAATTTAAGAGTTGAATCACTGCATCTGAACTAGGGTGATACTGAATGCACCCTGGTTACAGAGAAGACTCCTTCTGTGCCAGGAAGTGCAGGCCTCTCATGCAGACCTCCCTTTCCTATGTAGAATGTTACCTGGAGCCTTTTTGTTTGACTTTGACAAAGACAGCCATCCCAACATTTGGAGAAACAAAGTGACCTCCTCAAAGACTGTCACCCTGCTAAACTATACTTAACTCTTTCAGTTTCATAGATGATGAAATGTACCAACTCCTCCATGTACCACCCCCCTGAACAGGTGACTAACAGGCTGAGCTATTACAATACAAGGAAATGGGATGCCACCTATGTGGTCAAGGAGGACACTGATGCTAAAGGATACAGTCACATGTTACAAACCACTTCAATGTACTTGCAGCCTGGTTCTACATTAGCCAGACACCATCTTGATGGTGTGCATTGGGAGCCAGCTTCCTTACCTGAAGAGATGATGAGGAGAAATGATATCTACCACAGGCTCCCTTCTTTCTTGGTGTCTTCCTTCCTTAGAGATGCTTTTTCTTGAGGTTTTAATACACATACGCACACACACACACACACACGCACACACACACCTTTGTTCATCCATTCATTGCTTTTTTTTTCCTTCCCTCCTTCCTTCTATTTCCCCCTGCCTTCTTCAGACATTTCTTAAGAGTGGTAAGACTCAAGATACAGACATAACAAATATTGTCTTGAATTCATGAAACTTAAGTCAATAATAATTATGTGCCACGGTAGTTAATCATGAACATGGCATTCCCAAAGAGAGATGCTAAATGTAAAGAGAGCATGTGGATCTTCCTTTTCTGGGAGGTCAGACAGACTCCCGCAAGGAGTCTGCTCAGCCATGAGGGAAGCTGGTCCAGCTAAAGACAATGTATGCAAAGGCCCTGAGGTAGGAAAATGTAACACCTGATTTTCTCTTGCATCATCCAGGCAGTCTGCATATGTTTCCTAGTCTTGTAGTGAGTGTGTTTCTGCCATCAGTGACTGACTCTGTACTAGCTTGGTTTGAGAGCTTTCTTCTTTGGGTGATCATATAATAGGTAATTACTTAGTCACTAGTAATAGTCTTCGGTAATTTGCATGCTCATGCATATATCTATGCATTCACTGAGAGGAAACTCAAGGGTGCTAATAGTTCATTGGCCAGAACTTAGCCCCCTGGCTGAACCTAGCAGCAAAGGATGTAAGAAGTCTTAGCTTTTAGCTGTGTAATCACACATCCAGCTGAAACTCCAGCAGCATGGAGAAGGAGAAGCACAAGGTGTTTAAGAATAGGCTCAAGTCAGGCGGCGGCGGTGCATGCCTTTAATCCCAGCACTTGGGAGGCAGGCAGATGGATCTCAGTGAGTTTGAGGTCATCCTGGTCTACAGAGTAAGTTCCAGGACAGCCAGAGCTGTTACTCAGAGAAACCTTGTCTTGAAAAAACAAAGCAAGCAAAAAGCCAACCAACCAACCAACCAAACAAACAAACACAGGTTGTCCCATTACATTTCCCAGACCTCTGCCCATCCCCATCCTTACCTGCTCATCAATAACCAGTTTATTCTTCAGAACTCACATGGAATGCCACCGTTGAGAAGTCTGCTCACTGCACAGAAGCAGGCTCTGTCCTCTCCCCCTTCTGTGAGCCTGCTCTGCCCCAGTACTCAGCACACTGATTTGTAGCCAGTTGTGTGTGTGCTTGGGGTTTCCACTCGGCTGTGAACTTCTCAAAGGCACAGGCCAGATTAATCCCACCGCTGTAGCCCCCCGGTGTTCAGGAACATGGTGGGGGCGGGGGAGCTCCATGAATATTGGTTTAGTTAGAAAAGCTCCTGAAGTGATGAACGGCCAGCTCCTTCCAAGTGGGCATGTGTGCCAGTGAGGTCTGATTGCCTCTTCCCATCTTTACCAGACTAACTCACTTTAAAAGAGAAGGAAAGTGTGAAAGCCTGGGTTTTCTGGAGACAGGAGGAAAAGGCCTTTACTGGATATTGATCTATATCTAAATCCTGCATCATATCCCAAACCACTCACTTTATCCAGGCATACTGCTGATGGGCAGGTCCCTTCTCTGCAAGAACAAAGCATCAGGGTAGGTGCTGGCCATAAGGCTAGAGAGACAGAAAACAGCACTCATGGGGTTGCTAACCCTGAGCTGTAAAACAAATCTGAGCTCATAAGAAAGGCCAGAGTAGTAGCTTAACTTGTTGATAGTGTGAAATAATTATATCCATAAAAATACAAAAATAATTAGAATTCTTGGCTGCAGCTACAGAAACCCATTCTATCTAGTTGATGTGGGGGGGCTCCTCTAGAAAACAAACAAACAACAAACAAACAAAAAGATTTCTTTCCTAACTTAGAGAAAGGCATGCAGCCTGTCCTCAGGCTGGAATAACATAAAATCATGTTTACTGGGTATTCTGTATGTCTTTAGATTTTTTCCTTCCCTGTGGCCAGTTGGGGCACATCCTTTTATAAAGTCTGAATTCCATATATGAGAGACGAGGTTTTAGTTCCTGAACACAAGAGTGTGCTAGTTTAAGCAATGTCTGGTAGTTGTCTGTTTTGGAAAGCAAAGTAACAGTGACCACTCCAGTTCCAGAGTCTCACAGATGAGGTTGGAGTGGCGCTGGGCTAGTTGTGCATCCCAGGACCGTCCACTGAACGAGGTAGAGAAGGGTGAGGTTGAAAGTGTTCACCACCACCTACCCAAAACTCTAGGAACACGACGTCATGGTGAGAACACAGAATCTCAGTTTTGTCTCCTGGTAGCCATATCATCTTAAGTTTTCCTGGCCATCTGTTTTCTTGACTGTAAAACTGAGAGAGAGAAAGAGAGAGAGAGAGAGAGAGAGAGAGGTCTACCTCTCATTGCTGTGATGACTGACGGGCAGGCACATGTGGAGTATCCATCTGTCTTTCTCACATGCTGTCTCCGTTCCCTTGCAAACATGTGCTATCCTCAGTACTGCTGCTCATGTAGCCTGCCAGGAAGAGGAACAGTAGGGCAGCATCTTCTACGACAATGTCGGCATTTTACATCCATGCTGTACAATACGCAGCCACAGGCTGCACACAGCTACAGACTGAAGCACTTGGGGTGTGGTGAGTGTGATTAGACTGCGAACTATTCTTAATCTTAATGATTGTCACTCTCAATTGAACAGGTTAATGGACAGCAGAGCCCCAGCACAGTGGTTTGCATCCTGGATTCCTAGTGGAATTACTGGGGAGATTCTTTTTAAACATAATTTTTTATTGATTCTTTGGGAATTTTACATTATGCACCTCAACCCCACTCATTTCCCAGTCCCTCTGTGTTTACCCTTCACCCTTGTAGAATTACTTCCCCCCAAGAAAATTTTAAAAGAAATAAAAATAAAAAATACAAACATACAAACAAACATTTCACTTTTTTGATCTCCCAGCTGATTGGGGAGATTCTTAAACTGATAGTGTCCAGACCTCACCTTCAGAGATGTTTGTGATTGCTTTGGGATAAGGCCCATTTCTAAGGTAGCTTTCAGGAGTCCTCTCTCCCACCCTCCCTCCCTTCATTTTTACCCCTTCCTCTTCTCCTCTTTCTCCTTCTTTGGTGTGTGTGTGTGTGTGTGTGTGTGTGTGTGTGTGTGTGTGTGTGTTGGTGATGGTGGTGGTAGTGATTATACAGGGTCTTACATCCTTTCTGGCTTGGCACTTATTATGTAGGCCAGGCTGATTTCACACTCATTGCAACCCCCCTGCCGCAGCCTTCCAAGTGTCGAGTAGCCATTCATGAGCTCTCACACACACACACACATGATCCACAATGCTAGGCTCATACACACACGAGCCACTCTGCTAGGCTCCTAAGAGTTTAGTATCCTCCCCTCTAGGCATCTAGTTCTGCAGTGTGGAGTAGAAAAGCATGTATGGTGAGGAGGAGGAGGGCCACTAGAGCTTAGTCTCCTATTTAGTTGTGTCAGATCCGCTTTGGCCTCTCCACACTTTAGCTGGGTATGTCTGCTGGAGGATCTGAGCTAATCAGGAATAAGTGACGTTGACAGAGGGCACACGAGCAGTCATTATCGTTTCCCATTCAGTGTCTTCTCTCCTCTTGCCAGGGTTCGAGTGAGCCAGGATGGGCAGTTTCTGCACTACATCTTTCCCTACCAGTTCATGGACTCTCCTGAGTGGGAATCGCTGCAGCCTTCTGAGGAGGGCACCTTCCAGGTAATAGGAGCCCCGTGGCGGCAGGCACTGCTTACTGTGAGCCCCCAACCTCGCTGCCTCCCTCTCTCCTGTCTGTCCTTTGTCCACCACCAGGTGTGATGCTGAGAGTGGGTGAGGTCATGACCTCTGCCTTCTGTGGGAGAAGAGGTGGGGTCCGGGGATGACGGAAGGGTGGTATTGGTCCCTGACAGGCAGTCACGTCACTCATATGCCTATAGAAGACTAATGCGTACAGAATTTAAAAACCCATCCTGCATAAAGTAACTGAACCTTTAGCACTCTCTGCCTGGCTGCAGCTCTAGCCCTTCTGGCTCACACTACTTACTCTAGCTCTGCTGAATACCAGCACCTGCATACCTTGACCCCGCTGATGCCTCTCTGTCTGAACAAGCCGCCATGCTCCCCAGCACTGTCTGAACAAGCCGCCATGCTCCCCAGCACTGTTCTATGAGAGCTGCTCAGCTTCCCACCTCCACGCTGTACAGCTTACGGCCGCCATCTGCCTGCTTCTGCTCTTCCCTGTGTTTGCCCTGGCCGTGTGCACGTTGCTGTCTATTCTAACCTCATGGAGACATCTCCATCTTTCTATCTCTGTCCCCATCTCTGTCATTGTCTCCACACTCCAAAACACAGTCCCAAGAATGCAGTTTTTACTGCACTGATTGCCCATAAGCAGTCGGTGTCTCTGGTGACTGGATGGGTCACTCACACCGACCAGGTCCCCGAGACCCTGGCCACTCAGTCCATGCTGACCTCTCTGCAGCCCTTCACATTTGTGGTTCTGGAGTGCTGATGGCTAGAATGTGGCACCCACTGCATATTGTATTGCCTTGCTGATTCACACAGGTTGCTAGATTGGATATTACTGTTGCTCTGTTTAACAGACAATCTACCTCAGGTTCCAAAGCATCATGCACTCAGCTAGAAAGTGGCAAAGCCAAGAAGGAGCCTGGATCTACTGTCTATTTTTGTTTTTTCTTTAAGAAATGAAGGGTGCATCATGAGAATAGTTCCCTCTTAGGGACTCTGCCAGACAGTTTGCTTGTCCCAGGGTCTTTGTGTCTTCTGTGACGTCTACCAGAGAGTCCTCTAGTCAGCAAATGAGCTAACCCCGGAACAGACACATGCCAGGCAATGCCACTGTCTGGGCCAGCTTCCGTCCTAATCCTAGCTCTTAGCTCTATGCTGAGATTGTCAGAGACGCAGTCTGCTGCCATTGCCAGGGCTACTAGCCACTGACCCCCTCCAATCTCACAACCTGTGTCTCATCCCTACCATCTCTGTCTCACCCAGAGGCATTCTCTGGGAACTCCCTCAGCCAGGAGAATGACCAGGAGAGCTCAGTGGCTGGAGCCAGCCACACCAGAATAGAGCCCTGACGGGGAGGAGCAGGTGGTGATGTGACAAAGGAGAGGCTGTTACCCCAGATGGCCTCTGGGCCTGGAATGTAAGCATGCTCATATTCCTCCCTTGTATGTGTTGTGTGCCTCACTTAGAAGCAATGGGATCCACTCCCTTGCTGTGGGCTGCGTTAAGTCCCATTTCCTCTTTGCAGATATCAAATGTTGCTGGGTTACAGTTCATCCTGATCTTGCCTCCTATATAGCTTTGTTGATTGGTAGGGCAATTCTAGTGACTGGCTAAATTACAGTTCACAACACATTTAACACACCTCTCAGCCTCCCATCACAGCTCTCACAGTCCAGTTACCCCAGATCTGCTGACTGGTGGCACTGTGCCCCTTTAATAGTTGTCAAGAGCAGAACACAGGCACGTCCCACAGATTTTATCATTAGCCTACAATCTGTGTCCTGTTCTACTGGACTCCTGTCCTATTTATGTATGTTCTCATAAAGAAAAGCTTGGTACTTATCAAAACTTTATCACAGACAGTCCTGCTTGTGGGAACCAATAAAAAAAAAAAAGGAGATTTCTGGAGGTTAGGGGCATGGTGCGATAGGTAATGCTTTCTGTGCAAGCGTTAGGGGCTGAATTAAGATCACTAGCATGCAACAAAAAGCAGGGCATGGTGACATGTACTGGTAACCCCGGAACTGGGAGAGCCAGAGACAGGCAGATCTGGGGGCTTGCTGGCCAGCCACTCTAGTTGAATCAAATGCTAGGTTAAATCTCAAAAAAAAAAAAAATGTAAAGCAATAGAGAAAGGTGCTTGAAATCAACTTCTGCCTCCTTATGTACATGCACAGGCAAGCACACCCACATACATATATACATACATGCTCCTTAACATACACATACAAACTCATACACACATACCCCCAACACACACACACACACACACACACACACACACACACACACACAAATAAAAGAAAGTAGATTTCTAGAGAATCTTTAGGGAAGGATTTTTATTCTTAGTTATGTGTGTATGTGTACGTGATGGTGATGGTATGTGCCCATGGGTGCAGTGTCCTGGAAGATCAGAAGAGGGCATTGGCTGAAATTACAGGCTGTTGTAAGTGGCCTGCCATGGGTGCCTCTGGAAGAGTAGGAAGTGCTCTTAGCCACTGAGCCATCTCTCCTGACTCTAAGGAAGGAGTGTATAAGACATGAGAAAGTGGCACTAGGTTGTTTGACAACACACTGGACTGTTAGTGTTCACTTGCATCATTTATTCCCTTCAGAGGTGCTTATGGGGAGCTCAGTATATGTCAGGTACTGCTGAAAGGATTTAGAATACATCATTAAACAGCATAGATTCTGCCCTTATTCAGTTTGCATTCTAGCAGGAGAGACAAAAATAAACCCTAGATATAACAAATAGTTGAATATGTTGGAAAGTAATTAAAAGAACAGCAGAGAACAGTCTAAGATTGTTCATGGGTGCCCTTTTAAAACAGGTGACGGCTGAGGAAAGGCTTGAGAGTAGACAGTGTGTACTCTGATCATCTATGAGACACAGGACAGGGCAAGTGCTAAAGTCCTGAGGGAGAGCTGCAGGTTTCAGGTACAGACAGAGGAGCACCTGGAGGTGATGTGCAGCTATCAGAAGAGGAAGCTGCAGAGCTGTCGTGGGAGCCAGATCACATGAGAGCCAGAGCATATATTTTATGGAGGGAGCCCAAAAGGTTTTCCAACAAGTGGAGCCTAATTAATGAAGAAGGAGGCCTCTGACCCGAGCACCAGAAGGGTGCGGTGGCTACAGGTGGAGCTTTTCAGAGGGGAAGTGCATCTTGGGATGTGTTCAGTTTGCTTCATATTGGACAGTGGGGATGTTGCAAAGGCAGTTGGAATAGTCTTCTGGAATCCAGGAATGAGGTGCGGGCTTGAGAGATAAACTTGGGGATGGTTTTATGCAGATAACACTAAAAGCCGTTGGACAGGATAGCATTGCCTCAATGAATAAGGGGATAGAGACCTGGTTGAGAACTTGGCCTCTTCTGTTAAGAAGTTGGGGAGAAAAAGAAAGCAAAGTGAACCTGGACAGAAGTCAGGAGGTTGCCTGAGGACTGTTTGGCATCTGGAGAAGCCCAGGAAGACAGTCTGTCAGAGCAAGGTGACCCAGCAGAGTGCAACTGACCGAGAGGCCACTGGGGGTCTTGATTGACAGGAACAATGATTGACAACCTTATTTGCCAAAAAGCAAGTCAGCAAAAAGGAAACAGTAAGTATAGACAGGGTTCTGTAGAGTTTACTAAAACAGGGGATAAATATAATGATATCACGAAAGTAAGGCAAAGAAAAAGAGTTTTATATTTTACTTATTTATTTTTTTAATGGAAGCATTAACAGCCCACACAGGGGAAAGCCCATAATCACAGTGTCTGTCCTTACAGACACTGACATCATCCAAGTCAGGGCTTCGTCAGGTATAACTGCTCTGTGGTTGGCACCAGTTTCTTGTCAGAGATTTTTTTCTGGCAAGGACATATAGGGCAGAGGCTATGACTGAGTGTGACAGCCACACGCTCAGCCACTGGCACCAGACAGATTGTGAGTGTTCTCTTCAGCATATTCTCTCAGAGGCGACATGCCGGACATAGTAACTTAATGGATGTTACACAGCTGGCGAAGGGGTAACACTGAAGCCAGAAACCAGCACCTGGACCTGATGACTAATTTAGGGTGCTGGTCTAACATCCAGACAAGGCAGGGAGCTGTGGAGAATAAGAAGTGGAGGAGTGGTCCAGAGGGCGATGAGAAGGAGAAGGGAGAGATGGAAGGTCAAGTAGGCAAGGACAGATTATTTTTTTTAATTTGTGTCTTTTTAAAAGATTTATTTTTAGTTTGCGGGGTGGGAGCAGATATGCACACATGAGTGCAGGTAACTGTAGAGGCCAGAGGCTTTAGATCCACTGAAGCTGAAGTTTTAGGCAGTTGTGAGCTGCCTGATGTGCCTGCTGGGAATCAAACTCAGGTCCTCTGCGAGAACATCAAATGCTCTTAACCGATCAAGCCATCTTTCTAGCCCTGAAAGACAAGGACTGGAGGGGTTGTAGATAGTCTCTAACACAGAATGCTCCAAAGGACAAACCATATTTCATAATTAGTATAAAGCACCCAACACAGTGCCTGGCACATCTCAGCTCAGTAAAGATTAGCCTCAGTGTCCATCTCCACCACTCTCCCCTTCTCCACTCACAAACACAGCCTGACCCTGCCAGCCAGAGGGTGTAATGATCAACCAGATCATTACAGATTGTCTAAGTTTAAGCCCTTTTGTATACTATTCTTGGAACGATTCCATTTTAATCTTAGCTTTGCTGCTCATCTTTGGCTTTGGTTTAGAGACAGGGCCTCACTCTGTAGCTCAGGCCACCCTAGAACTCACTAGGTAGCCAAAGGCGGCTTCCAGTTCCTGGCCCACTACCTCCACCTTCTGAGTGCTGGCTTTATAAGACATGAGCCACCATGCCTAGCCCATCATTTTAGCAGGATTATGGAGGCCTACTGTGTGCTGAGCTCACATCTTTGCTTACTTCTCCTGCTGACGTAATCTAGTTTGCATCCCTGGCACAGTGAATATGCAGAATTTCCTAGACCCTCAAATACATAACTGAATAAGGGGACCTGTTCCACTCTGCTTATGAGTGTCTTCTTCCAGGCCTTTATTCTTCCTGGAGTCCTGAGATCCTTCAGACTTGCAACCAAGTCAAGAGCAGATTCGGGGACCCGAACCCCTAGTGCTCCATTTATCTGGTACATCTTGGCTCGCTTAAATCTGTAGCCTTTTCTCTAAACAAACTTTTCCCATCGGCCCTTTTGGTGACCATGCCACAGTACTTGGTTCTCCTCCCCCTGATGTTGGAAATTAGCCTTGGGCCTTATGCACACATGCTAGGCAACTGCTCTACCACTCATCCACCAAGTTATCTCCTCCCCAGACCTTGAGTTTCTCCTCCCAAGACCTTGCGTTTCTCCTCTAAGGTGCCCATGCTGGCCTTGAACTTATCAAACACCCAAGTAGCTGGGATTACAGGTGTTAGTCACCAAGCCTGGCTCTCAGTTCTTTGTTCTTAAAAAAACAGAACCATCTTCAGTTTGACCTCTCTTCAGTGCCCTGCCTGGGAAGCCTCCCTCCCTTTCTCATCATCCTACTAAGAGTCTTTAGCAGCCATTGTTGTTATCAGCAGTGGAACCACAGAATGAAGGAGCCAAGGAGAAGGGACGAGCAGACTGAAACTCCAGGTGATCCATCCATCCATCGGCAAGTGAGCATGGGACTGTCCCCAGATCCTGACATAGGGCATGCCCATCACGGTGCACTCAGAAGCCTGTTCCTGGACTTCCTTGCTGCTAGGCCATAGAGAGCTACCAAAATCAAAACAGCTCCGTTTCCCTATACTTTAAACCTCTCTGCTCCTAACCCCTCAGGTCACGCTGACTGCTGAGACCGAATGCAGCTACATTTCCTGGCCCCGGAAAAACCTCCACCTTCTTCTGAGCAGAGAGCGATACATCTCCCGCCTCTTCTCAGCCCTGCTGGGCTATGACATCTCTGAGAAGCTCTACACTCTCAATGACAAACTGTTCGCTAAGTTTGGGCTGCGCTTCGACATCCGTCTCCCCAGCCTCTACCACGTGCTGGGGTCTTCAGCCTCAGATGGGGGACCCGAGTCTGAAAAGGATGATGAAGAAGCCTTTGAGGCAGCTGTGTCCTCTGCCCAGGCCAGGCCCATCTGTATCTTGCCAACACCCCGTTATTCCCCACCTCCAGCCACCACCAACTTCCCTGCGCCTCTGCCCCGGGCCCGGATGTCCAGGCCTGACAGTGGCACCCTGGGTGAGGACTCAACCAGTCTGGTGCTGGAGGATTTTGAGGAGGTTTCGGGATCAGAGTCGTTTATGGATTATAGGAGTGATGGGGAGTACATGAGGTGAGGGCGGAACTAACACGGGCACAGCCACCAGCTAAGGATCCTGTGTAAGTATGCTGAGGTGAATGTGCCCTTTCCTGCCAGTGCAGGTCCTATCGGCTTCCCAGGGCAGGAGCACTGCTTCTGAGTCCCTCAGAGGACTCGCTGCGGCTATAACCCAACCCCGCGCTCGCAGCAGGCGCATGCTTGCCTGAAGGATTTTCTAAACCTACTCATGGCTGTGGTTGCATTTCAGAGAATGGGCTGATTGACATTTTGAGCAGGCCAGTAGGTGGCTAATCTTTTGAGGGGGTGTGTGTGGGGGGTCTAGATTTTGCTAACAGCTAAAAGCACTGGCTGGGACTAAGGAGGTTTTTGTCTGTGGGGTGTATTTCAAAGGGAAGAGAATGCTGGCATGGTTCTACTGATGGTCTCCCTGGTGTGCAGATAAGTTCTGGGAAGTAGCTGTCTTTAAGACTTGACTAGGAAGGACTGTTAAAGTCAAAGAGACTGGTGATGCTAGGCACATAGCTTTGGCAAGCAAATGATCATGTCTTGTGGCAAACGTGCTGGCCACTCAGGCAGAGGCCTGGACACTGCTTTGATTTAAACTTGACTGTGACAGGTGTAGAGCAGCCTGGCTTTCCCCAGCAGCCCACACATGTGGGCAGTGGCCTGGACCTGGCCCCTGGTGGCCTCCCCGTGCAAGTAGGATTTCCAGGAAGGCTGTTCTCCTAGTTCTAGGAAGTCACTTTTATATTCCCCAGATTGATCTAACAATACTGTGACATTTTCCTCCGGGCTCTACCCAACAGTGGTGGAGGCTTGGCTTTTCCTGAGGAAAACCCCACTGCCCACAGTCGAAGGTGTTTTAAGTAACAGGGGAGCCACTGCAGGGACCTATCGTTCTTTGGGAAGCACCGGTAGATTTGAGGAACTAGCCCGGTACAGAAGGCCTCCAAGGTGTACGGAGTGAATGAGTGGGTGTGTATTTCCAAAACAGTCCTCATACCAATGAGAGAGGCAAGCAAGATTAAGGCCATGTGTAAGAAGTACGGTTTTTCCGCCTGCCGCCTGGTCTTGTCCTGCCGCCACGCAGCCAGCCCCAAATAATATACAGAGACTCTGTATTTGATATTATGTTGTTGGCCAGGTGTTAGTTTTTTATCGGCTAGCTCACCGGCTTTAGAGATGCAGACGATGTTGTCTCCCCTAGAGCAATTCCAAGGCTATGAGACCCACCATAGCTTAGTTTACTTTCCTGCTCACTGGTCCCACTCTGTCTTCCCACACCTCCTGCCCCATTGCTGACCAGTGTGACCGGTGGGCACTTCATGCTGTCCAACCTCTTCAGCTCACAGAGTTCTGACTTCTGCCTCTTTTCCATTCCTGATTTCTACATGTCCCTGTTGTCTCAGTTTTGTGGCTCAAGTGTCCCTTTTCCTCCCTATCTTCCCCTGACTTCTTCCATTTTTGTTTTTGTTTTAGTTCTGTCATGTGCGCGCGCGCGCGCACACACACACACACACACACACCTTTGCCCAATCTGTGACTTTGCTCTCCCTTCTCTTCCCTAAGTAACCAACCTGTGTCTCCATTTTGCTAATTTTGAATGCTAACTCCTCCAAGGCCAGTACCCATTTTCTCTGAGGATAAAGAAAACCATCCAAATAGAGCCTCCAAAGTCCCGACTTGGAGGATGTTTCACTAACATCAGAGGACAGGCAGCATGGGAAATAAGGAGCCTAGAACTTTTGTGCCTGGCTCCTCAGCAATGAGGAGCAATGAGGGCAGAATATACTTCATGTCAACATTAGAAATCACCTCAGCAGGAAACTCTGAGGCCTAACTCACTTTGTAAGAAGTCTTGGGGTCCTTGCACAAGCTCCACACACACAGTGTGTGTGATTCACACCACAGGGGCAATCCATTGCTCATACCTGCTAACCTCCAGTCCTGAACTCAATTCTCCCCTGTGAGAATGATTCCAAACTGTCATAGGAGCTTCCCCAGAACCATGGTTTGCCTCCAGATCCTCCTGTGTTTATCCCTCTGTTATTTAAATCACAGAGAGGAAGGAAACAACAGGTGGTTTTTACTTTCAAACCACTAAGCATTCCAAAGACGGTAGTCATAATCGGTCATATTTTAGACAGCTTCCATGTGACTGGCGGCTTCTCCTTCCCTCCCTGAAACCTACCTTCAGACGGGAAAGCCGATGGCTGCCAGTGCGAGTAAACAGCTCCTAGGCTGTTTTGTTCTTAGGTTGGCAGACGCTGGAGTCTGCACAGTGACTGACCCGATGGCAGAGGCCCCTGTGTCGGTCAGGTCTGGGGCAGCAGCCCCTCCCTTCACAGTTCTCAGTATTTCTTACAGTGCTGTACTGCAGCCCTCTTCTTCCACCCTGTGTAGAAATGAGTGGTGGGGGGGTCTTAGAAAGCTTGCTGAATTGCAGTGCAGGGCTGGGGTTGTCTGTCTTATGATCTGTGAGCAGACTGGGAGCAGCATGCATCCTGGCAGTGGCGTTAGAGGAGGGAAGAACTGTAGACTAAGAGACAGTGCTAGATAACTTCAGAAGTGGACCCCGTGCCCCCATATTCCAGAATGAAAGAACTGAAAGGCACAACTGCCCACGGCTAGGCGTTGGGCGTAGGGTCCACAGGGGAAATGGAAACCTAACAGAGATCCCGTGATCTTGTGCAAGCCCTCTGGATTTAGGTGCTAATTAACTTCTTCTTCTGTTTCTCCCCACAGCTTCCAGACCTCCTCTCCAGAACTCTTCTCAGGTTATGTCCAAAGCACAGGCCCCTTTGGCTCCAACCCACACCCCTGAGCTTTGAGGATTACAGAGCCATTGTCTGTATGGCTAGACAGCTCTCTTCCATGTTCCCTGGATGGCCACTTGGACTCACACCCCTCCTCTCAACCATCAGAAAGATCTGGGGAAAGATGGGGGATGGGCATGCCATGCCAGCACCCCAACGACCCCAAGGGTGACACAGAGAAACGTACCTTCATGAACCTCCCTCAGAGGAGGAGGGTCCAGAGGCATCAGGCCCGACTCCATCTTTTATGGATTGTGGGACCTTGGCTGGTTATGTAGCCTCTGAGCCTGGTCTGTCAAGTGGAGCTATGAACTCACCTCACTGGGCTGTTGTGAGGATTCAATGAGCTGACTGGGTAGAGCACCCATGACGTGGCATGACCTCCAACATCCATTCACTAGATCACGCCTCGCCTCTCCTGATGTTGTCGCTTTCAATTGTCTGAAAGGATCCAATGACTTTTCTCCGTGATTACTTTTTTGTTCCCAAATAAGTTTCTATTGAAAAAGAAAATTGTAAATCCTAATATTTTCTTCAATTTTAAGTTTAAAATACAATCATGTCCTGTTTATGAATCTAGTATTAAATGATAGCTCTTAGAAGAAATTTTACAAGCTTAGCCAATTTGCTTTATTTCCTTAAACATTTAAAAGTGACTTACAAGTTGAATCTCCTCTGCTCTCTTTCTAGCTGGTTATTTATTTTGATTGAGACAATAGCTTACTACTGTTCCTGAGGCTGACCTTGAATTGGCATTCCTCCTGCCTCCCCTTCCTGAATGTTAAAATTACAGGTGTACACCACCATGCTTTGCAGAGTATATTCTATGTTGTGTTTTCCTTACAATGCGGTATAAAACCTATCACTAATACAGTGGCATAAAATTGTTGCAGTCATTTGTTTTGCTCCTGCAGTGGGGACCACCTGGGGTTGTTACTACTCCGTGCCCACCCAGCTCCATGCTATCTCTCATGTTATTGCTTTCAGCACGAGTGTGGAACAGGAGTCATCTCAAAGGCCTCCTCAGTCAACTGTCTGTAGAGAGACTAGGAAACTCAAACAGCTGAGGACTAATCAGCTGGAGAAGCTTGCCCCAACTCCAGTGGTTGGCTCTTGCTGACATGTAGCTCTCTAGTGTAGGAACATACCGTGATGCATTCTTCTGTTGGTATGCCCTTGGATGGTTTCCATCTTGGAGTGATTAAAACAGTGTTCCTGTGGACATCCTTGAACAGATGCTTCGATACTCATACATTTGCATTTCATATACCTACCTCAAGAACAAGGCATCCAGTGTGTACATGTTAACCTACAGTGGATTCTGCCAAATCCTTTTCTTAAGTAGTTGTACCAATCTGTATTCCTTTCAGCAATGTTTGCGACTCCCTCTCTAGTAGTTGTCATGATTTTCTTCCATTCTAATCTTTGCCTTTGGGTATGAATAGCATCATTTCATCGTGGTTACAGTTTTCACTTTCCTGATGAATATGAAGGTTGGATATCTTTTCTTTTCTGCCCCCCTCCCCCTTACTTGGTTAGCCTGAAGGCTACCAAACTCCAACTAACCTGCCCCCTTTCCTCAATTCTGGGGCTAAAGTGCCGGTACGCTTGGCTCATTACATGGCTGCTAGAATCCAACTCCATTCATCATTGTTGTGTAACAGGTGTTCTTAACCACAGAGCCATCTCTCCAGCCCCATCCACCCCCATGTGGGTGTTTCTGTTATGAAGTGGCTAGTCTATCTAGTCTGTTAGCTATTTCTCATTTGCTTGATTTTTTTTCCTTGCTAATTTATAGAAATGTTTTAAATAATCAAGTTAAAAATATTCTGCTGACTTTTACACATTTTCCCCCAGTACATTCTTTTTCCTCTAAATGGTGTCTTTCAATGAACAGAGGTTTGAGTTCACTGTAATATTGGTTTTGCCCTTTTCCTGTGGCTAGAGCTTTCTGTGTCACAGTTAATGATCTTGTGTTCCCCTGAAGATGGTCCCCGTCTCAGCCTCCTAGATGTTTTACAATTCATGATGAGGCTGGTGACAGCCTGTATTTGGTTTTGGAGTATGGCATGAAGCAAGGGTCCATTTGGGTGTCCAACTGCCTGGGCATTAGGTACTGATATGGTTAGTATTCATCATGATCTTTGTCGTAGTCAAATGTCCCTGTACCAGAGGCTCTTTTTGGCTGTGTCATTGTTCTGCTGTCTTCTGTGCTAGCCCTGTGCTCCATCCAGGCTTTCTTTGTTCTGTATTCCTATCCATTAATCATGCAGCTTTGTTGTCGTTAGCGTAAACGTTGCTATCTGGCAATCTAGCTGTTCCTCGGGTCTTGGTTATTATAGGTCTTTCCCTTTACACATCTACATAAACTTTACAACAAGCCTGTCAGTTTTGAAGCACAAACAGATCAAGTGTGAAAAAGCATCTTTACAACCTGGATTTTTTTAAACTTTGAACATGAATTACTATTTCATTTATGTTAGTCTCCTTTGTTTTCTCACAATCTTATTTTTTTTTATTTTGAAGTAGGTGTCCTAGCATATTTTTATAGTTATTTGGTGAATCCAATGTGATTATAAATACCATCATTAAATATCTGATCGTCCATTGATACTTACATAATACAACAATTTTTGTAACTTCAACTTCCGTCCAGTGATAATGATAAATATATATATATTAATTCTCATCATTAATATATTTGTTCTGCAGCATTTGCCAAAGGTAAAACAGTGACAGTTTTATTTCTTCGTTCCTCCCCTTCTTCTCTCTCTTCCCTTTCTGGTACCTGTGTGTTAGGTAGGACCTTCATTATAGGGACAAAGTGGACAGCAGAGTCATCTCCCTTTTACATCTCCTTTACAAAAGGAAAATATTTTTGATATTTTGACATTAGGCTTTTTTTATTTTTACTTAAGAAAAAACAAAATAAAAACAAAAATAGGGTGTCAGTGTTTTCAACTAGCAACCTTCCTGTATCCTCCCTGAGTGTTGCTGTCACAGACATGTACCAAAGTACCTGACTGTAGTACCTATTTATAATGTTTTTCTTGTCCAGATGAAAGTTCTCTATATTGACTATTGATCTTATCAAAGACGCATCAAAGAAAAGAAAATATTTTCTTTTTGTTTGAGGGTTTCATGTGGCCCAGGCTGGACTGAAACTTACTATGTACCTGAGGACAGCCTTAAACTCCTGTCCCTCTTTCCTCTACTTCCCAAATGCTGAGATTATGGGCCTGTGTCAACACAACAGGCTTCAAGACTTATTGAGATTATTTTTCTCCTTTACCCTGCTAACACTGTAAATTCTACAAATAGGACGCATATTCAAAAACAAATAAACAAAAACCTCTTGCATTCCTGGAATGAGTTTTATTTCTGCAACAAACCCTGCTTTGTTATGCTATTTTCATGTATTTCCAGACTTTGTTTGAGAACATGCTGCCAGGTTTGAGTATCAAAATCACATGCACTTTAAACACAAATTGGGTTCTCTCTCTCTCTCTCTCCTTCCCTCCTTCCTTTTCCCATTCCCATTCCAGCCCATTCTCTACAAGAGATATTTAAATCAAAGCACAATTTTTTAATCCCACCCATCAACCTCACTCTGTCTTCCTCTTTGCTAATTTGTTCATGTCCCAAACCTTGGAAACTTTCTGTCACACTGTCAATTTTGCCTTCAGACTGTATCTCATGCTCTCCACGGTAAGTACTGACATGAAGTCGGCATACTTCAGAACAAGATTCCCTGTAATGTAACTGCTCTGCTGCCCTCCCTCCCATGCTATTCCACGCCAAGCAAAATGTACATTTGGATGTGTGAGTCTGAATGCTTTTCACCGTTATATGTAAGAGTTAAGTGAAACCACCAAACTAGACACTCCACGGGCAGAAGGGAAGGGTTACTGTGCATCAGACTGCCGAGGCTATGGGCAGGGACAGACAGAAGTAAAATGGTGGAGAGGCAAGTGGATTTTATATGACAGTCAGCCGGGTGGGAATCTTAGAGCTGATACTGTTCCGACTTACCAGGAACGAGATGCCTTTGCCCAAAGTACTTGGCCTTTGGGGGTGGATTAAGGAATAAAAGGAGAAACATGCCTGTGAGATCCAATTTTCTGGCAAACAGAAACCAGATTTTAGGCTGTTTAGCCTGTAACAACCCTCTGTTTACCAAGCAAAGTCCTTGTGTTTAGAACATTGTCACCAGCACTGCCATTTTGGGATTTGGAACTGACAACCATAAGGAAAATAATTGTTAGAGGTCATTGTTCTCCAGCTCAAAATTTCAAATGCCCCTCTGTTCCACTTGAATGAAATCCGAACCTCTTACTGTATGACACTGGCATGAGATTCATTCACTGACCGCCCTGTGACTCTCGGGGGCCTCTGTCTAGCTGTAGTTCAGTGATTTGGTTGATTTTGATCATTGGCTGCTGTCATCTTCAGGAAGAATCATCCAGTTTTCTTTCCTTTGCTCTGAACTGGGAGCATTCACTGCCATTCAGTGATTAGACCTTGTCACATTGACCCAGCTAATAATCAGCTTTGGCCTTTGTCATAGGGTTTCTACTGCTATGAAAAGACACCAGGACCAACGCAACTCTTATAAAGGACAGCATTTAATTGGGGCTGGCTTACAATATCAGAGTTTAGTCCATTGTCATCACGGTGGGACATGGTGGCATGCAGGCAGACGTGGTGCTGGAGAAGGCGCTGAGAGTCCCACATCTTGATCTTCAGGCAGCCCAAGGAGACTGCGTGCCACACTGGGCATGGCTTGAGCACGTGAGACCTAAAAGCCCGCCCCCACAGTGACACACTGCCTCCAACGAGGCCACACATACTCTAACAAGGCCACAATTTCTAATAGTGCCCCTCCCTAGGGGCCAAGCATTCAAATACACGAGTCTATGGGACCATTCCTATTCACACCACCACAGTTTTGCTGGTCAAGGGCAGGCAGAGCCTATGGGGGATCAAATGGCTCTCCAGGCAATTTCTACTCCTTAGTCTTCCCTGTCTGCCCCCCACCCACACTCCAATATGTGTTCACCCCATCCCTGGCGTTCCAGCCACACTAACCTATATTTAGGGCCTTTGCAGGTGAGCTCTTGTCTGAATGCCTCCCCTCGGCTAATGTCTTTTCATCCGAGTCTCACAGCACATGTCACCATCTCAGCAAAGAGGCCCATCTCACCTCACCACCGTCCTGTGTCCTCTTGCCCTATCAGACATTAGGAGTCTCCCCTCCCCCTTTAGAGTTTCAATCTTATACTTGATAGAACTTAGGTGTCCCATACAGTTCTGGTGTTGTTTCTAATTTTTTTTTCTGCAATAAGATTGTATATGTATTGTGTCTCTTTCATGCACACGATGATTTAAAAAAAAAAAAAAAAGCCCCGCTCATCTTAAGAGGTCCTTATCAACTCTTGATGCCCTTCTCTGTGTCCTTGACACACTGGCTTGAAGATGCTGACACGAACCCCAAGCGGGTAGGGTGAGCAAGGATGTTGGAAGTTTCACTTCCAAGTGTCACTATATCCATCCAGAGCTGTCTTCCCCT